CTCTCAAATTTAATTCATTTGAGTATCTCTCATTTTTGCCTTATATACACATGACCTTTATTATTCACTTAGTGTTTTGCTTTTAAACAACTCAATTTGGGGACTTAAATAGATTATTTTAAAAGAAAATATTACATCACTGTCACAACTCAGAAAAACTCTATTCTAAAATAGATGGTAACTATAAAAATTAATAGGATGAAAATGAAAAAAGTATGTACAGTTCTAGCTCGATGATGTTACCTGGAGGCTCAGTGCCTGAGAGCACATCTTCGTCTTGTTAAAACAACATTAGAGAGATGTTAAAGACCTACTAACATCAAATTGAGATTTTCTTTTCCCCTGTTATTAGAAAATTGAATGGAAAAACTTTGTCAACCTGAGTTAGGCTTTGTGACAGACTATTACCACTCAAAATGATATCCCAGACCAAGCTTTGGGAAGTAATGGATTAAAGAAACAAAGGAAATGGATCCAATAGCCTTACCAACTCATTCACTCATTCATTCACAGATCTTTCCTTTGCACCTGATCCACCATGCGTGCAGTCCTGCTTCCTCTGGTTTTTTTCCTCCCAGCTCTTCTGTCATTGCTGCCCCAGTCCAGTGGAACTTATTGTGGGAACTAGAAACTCCTTAGGGTCTTCGTTCTCTTCTGATGTCATTTGGGGCCCTTTGTCTAAGGTTCAGCCTTGGAATGCACCTTGATCTTGCCCACAGGCAGAACTTCTCCAGACCTGTAGCAAATTTAAATAATATTTCATCTTTCTTACACAGTTCCTACAACTCCTGCAGGATCAGAGGAGTAAGAAAGCGAGGAGGTACATCTAATTCTAGGAGGTCCAGAGTCCTGGATATTCTTTTCATTTGTGCTATTATTTGGTAGGGAGTTTGGTTTTAATCCCAAAATGTGCTTTGAGACCTTAACTCTACAATCAGGTTATATCAATTATCTGAACAATAAAACCTGGTAAAACCACTTCCATAAAGATGGTTAATACAACAGACATTTATTTTATTAATATGATATTATTTAGTATGCTAGTAAGTATTTTTCTAGGCTTCCATGTAAAGTCTCACCTCTGGTGTTATTACCAAGCCTCAGAACTTCTTTAGAGTTGATATCTGTTAAGTCTCCAGTTAACTCTCCCTTATCCTCATAGAAATTAATTGCAGTGCAGATTATCTGATGTTATGAACATTTAATAAGAAAGATTATGATCTCATGTTCCATTTGCCAGAGGAAAGCAGTTGTGGCCAAGACCAGCTGTGCTAGTAAGGACCCCTCATCTTAATTAGAACAAGTATGAAGAATTGTCTGCAGTTAGAATGTGGCACTCTCAAATTCTGTTTGTTGTTCCAAATGAACCTCAATATAATTATATAAAGTGCTTTGAGAAGGGGATATACCTGTTCCATTATCCTTCTAAATTTAGCTATGATAAATTTTGACATCCTTTAGGGGAAGAAAAATCTTAAATTCTGATGAAAGCAAATTTAGGAACAAATTTAAAAAGTAATGTCAATGGTAAATTCCAGGAAAGAAAAGCTATTTACAGAGAATGCTAGGAATATTTGGAAACAATACTAGGAAATATGAATGTGCTAGAAGGCATGAGTAATAAGTGTTTTTTGAAGTTTGCAGTGGCTTCAGGGAGCCTACGTCTGTGGTTTTGTTCGAAAGTGAATTTATCTTGTTGATTTTGAAAGCTTTGCTCTACATGCCTTCAGTTCCACTAGGGCTGGATATAACCTTATGCATCTGCTAAAGTCATGCACCCCTTGGGTAGTCAATAAAAATGCTAACTGAAAAGAGCTGAATTCCTCTTTTTTCATGTTGTCTTTTTCTTCCAACAATGGCTTCAGGAAAGATGATACTGACTGCCCCTTCTGCTTTACTAATGATGGTCATTTGGAGATGAAGTCTTTGAAAAGTTTGGCATGGAAGACAGGAGGGAACAGTTATACAACTTAGATTGAAAAGACAATAAGTATATGTTTGTTTGCTGCCAGATTACCCATCAGCTTAATACAACTCTGCCATTTCTCACTGTGGTATGACTTTGTGTTTGTAACAAGAATAGATAATTCTGCCATCTCACTTCCTAGGGTGTGTGACTTATATCTCATATAAGTGGCTGCTTCTGAAAGATTTGTGATGATGGAGGGTACTTTGACCTCTGGTGGAATCTCCTTTAAAAGCCTTAGGAGAAACTCCTGTAGACATTTCTGTGGGGCCCTCCCAGCAAGTACCTGTCAGGCTTGGGAGCCTCTCTCTCCTCTGAGGTGGAGAAATGCCAGTAGAACACAGTATCAGAAGAATAATGCCAAGAATATTATCATTATGGGTAGCTGTAAGAAAAGGACACACTACAGGATGGAGTAGTTTCTTAGTAATCCTCTGGAAATGGAGGGAGTGACTTTCCCAGCTCTAGTTCCTTGGACCAAAGCCCAGACTTCCTATGGACGTATCATAGCAAGAATTCCTGGCAACTTAGCAGTGTCTCCAGTTCTGCCAGCACACCCTTACAGAGACATCTATGAATAGGAAGGACATTGACACAAGGGCATTAACAAAGTCACAGCTATATTTTTAGGTAACATTTAGTACCTATATTTTTTAATTGAGAAAGGAATCTCTATCATAGGCTCTCAGAGTACCATGAAAAAAATATTTACAATCAATGCCAAACAGAGATCAAAGAGTTAATTTATTGGTGATTTGTTTCCATTTAAATCAAAGAAAGTAAACTCTTGGTTTACCAAATTGAGAAATGTATTAATTATTTAAAGTTAATATATTGTAATGTATTACTCTGAAAATTATTTGAAATGTTAAATTTCAAAGACATCAAGAAAATACTGAATTGTTCCCAAATTTTATCCCTTCAGCTTGTATAAAAGTTTTTGTTTATTTTTTGTTCTGTTTTTTAATTCTTTAGGTATTAGAAGTGTGCACAGGCTAATGTTATGTAAGATGTTGAGGAATTCTTAGTGTATGACCTCCTCTTTACTTAAAAATAGATACTGTAAGGATATAAGAATTAAATTTTGGGATGTGGAAGGTGGTTGTTATTGATTGGATGCCACTGGGGCTAATGTACCCTGAAAGTGCTGCTGGGTCAGACTTAAGGGGAGGCTTTGGCAGCAGATTAACAGTGGATTATCCCTGTCATTTGCTTTAAATATTTTATCAAAGATTCCAAGCGTCCTTGAAAAATCATCATGGGCGAGGGGATTGAAGAATAAGAGCTGCAAGTGAAATCTGAGGCAATTTTAGTTTTTATTACCAGCCAATTCTATCCCATTGCCTTAGACTTGTAGCCTTGCTTTCTATTTTTTTCTTCATCTTATCTGATCTTTCTGGAAGGGTAAGACAGATTATTTCTCAACTATGACTTTGAATTCTAAGGTAGAAACCCTATTTAAGAGCAAGTTTGAGGTTTCGATGTTGGAGAAACTTAACTAGCGTCTGAGTTGCCCTTTCTTAACTCTCTAATAAAAAGACTCTGAAAATAAATAAATAGTACAGATATTTTGAATGTTTTTTCTAACTTAAGGGAAGATCCAGGTGGTTTGTGCTGACTTGAGCCTACTCTGTTCCAACAAGGATATAAATAAGAAGGGCTATAAAGCAGTTAGGAATTGTTTTCTTGACATAACAGAAACTGCCCCACCCCGCCCCCAAAATAAAACAGTGTCTTAAACGTTTAAAAAGTTTAAGTTGAAAGGCAGATAGTTTCTGGCTCAAGGGCTTCAGAGTCTATGTCCTGAATCTTTTGTCCTTTTCTTTGTGGTCTTACGGTTACAAGATAGCTGCTTCATTTCCAATGTCACATCCATATTCTAGGCAGAAAAAAGGGAGGACAGAAACTAGGTCAGCATAGGTTTACTCCCTTTTTGAGGAGCTGCCCAATCTACTTATATCTCATTGGCCAGACATGTATTTCATAGCATCCTCTCTTGGCCAGAGAAGCTGGTTATTGTTTTCTATATGAGAACATTACAATCGTCTACTTTCCAAATTGACATTCTCTTAGGAAGGGTGACGAAAAGTGTAGGAAATTAGTTTGTCACAAAAATCCCCCATTAGTGTTACCTCAAATAATTCTCAGATCTAATTGTACTTCTGTATGTCCATTTACACTATATTTAACAGAAGAGAAATAAGATAGCAGTTAATTGGTTTGATCCGGGAGGGTCTCATGGAGGAGGTGAGACTTAAAGATGAAATCTGAAGTTTAACTACAATTTGGAGAAGAAATGGGGTAGGAACTCCAAACAGAAGGAAAGAAGGGATAAAAGGGGACAGTTATATTCTCCTGGGAGAGATCAGCTTTCACCTTTAGTCTATATAATTATCAGTCATTTCTCTTAGAGATGATGGTACTTTAGTTTTACTGAGTGTTCTGAGACTTTGTTGAGAGAATTAATTATGCACTCAAGAAAATCTCTTTCCATTACAGAACAGATATTCTAGTTATTTATGTTGCATTGAGAGAAATTTATGAAGGATAAGTTTAGGTATGTTTAGATTTCTTTTTAGTAGGAAAATGAGGTTAGTTTTCCATGTGAAGGCTTACAAATTATTATACAAAGAGAAAGTTATTATATAGCAATGTCATTTGTTGTTTTATAGATCATATGTTATTTGGGAAGTAGACAAAATGATAAATAACATTATTTCTCTGCTAAAAAAAACTCTAAAAATAAAGGTAACCCTAAACCAATTAACTCCATGTAATTCAAAGAAAACTCTGCTGTGAAATTTGCAATAGATAATCTAATGTGAATTTCTTCATTGGAGAGTTTTTCTCTGGTGGTGAATTATTAGTATAAATAATTCAAATGATCATCTATTTAAAGTAAATGGAATTAATGCCAGTAATATCTCAGAAATTCATAGATTTGTATTTCTTGGTGAGAAAATTAACACACTTGAAGAGTTTTTTCCATTTTTTATGGTAATACTTTCTAATATAATTAATACAGCAGAGGGTTTTGATTCTCTAAATGGCCTCAAACTAATGGCCATTAGTCCTTCCCCTCTTCAAACTAGTCTACACTGAATTTATTAACCTTTGAGAGTCAAGCATTTACAGGACAGGATGTTCCAGTTTGATATACTATGGTCTCTCATTTTCATCTACTACTAAGATATTTTCTTGTGCTCTTTTGGCAAAGGGAGAAGTTGACTTACTGCAACTATTTTTTTTCTCTGACCTCATTTTATTCTTTTAAAAAATCCTTAGTTTTTTCCAGTAACAAAGTGACAAAAATAAAAAAATTTAAATTCACATTTATAGGGTCTGTAGCAGGTCTAGAAAATAGCCCTCAGCACACAAGTCAGGAGTTGTAAATCACTGAGGAAAATTGAACAGAGGGAGTCAGGCTTCTTTGTCATCCTACTGATTGTAGCTGAAGGTCACAGCTAGGAATTTTAAATAAAAACAGCATCATACTGGGTTTCCTTCACCCTCAACCTACTCCCTTACCCTTGTGTACTGCTTTATAGAGTTCATTCTGATAATATGAGGATCTAAGCATAGAACAAAGATGGCTACATCTTTATGTGTGTGCTATAATAAAAAGAAATGAAAAGCTAAATTGTTTTATTAACTATAATTTAACCTTAAGAATTTCTATTTAAATGTGTTTATTTCCTTATAATTTTTTTTATAACACTAGGCATTGTATCTGGCAGGAAAGGTGAAAAGTACACTTTTTTTTTTGGCCGAAAGTCAATTTAGTATTGTATAATATTATATGCTACCTGTCAGTATTACACTTTTTATTTTTAAATTTAAATACTTTTTACTTGGTGATGCCACAATTAGGTAAATATTTGTGCAGCATTTATATACTAGGAGGTGTGTGCAATAAAAAAATGAGAGATTGTAATTTAATGGGGGAAATACCTGTATTTGTTGATTGTAATATGTGTAAGTGTGGGTATAATGGATAAAAGAGGTAAAATGAAATAGATTTATTAAGAATGTAGCATAAAGTTTGAGGTTTTGGAGTAGAGGTGATATTAAAAGGAGCTTCCTAGAGGGAGTAATGTTTAAACAGGACTTTGAAAGATAATTAGGACATGGTAGGAGTATTCCAGATGTCGTTTTCTGGTGAGGTCGCCTAACATGAGTTAAGGTGTAGCCATTGGTAAGTCTTACATATGTTTGGAAATGTCAAATAATCAATTCTTAGGGGGAACCTCAAAGGGGGGTACATTGAGGCCCAACCATGGAAGTGGTTGAAGGCTGTGCTGAGGAATCTGGACTTCGTTCTGTTAATTATGGGGATTCTCTGAAGGCTTTTGAGGAGAGGAATAATCTTTAAGGACAGTGGCTGATGACAGTAGAAGGATAAAGGTGACAGACAGAGAGGGAAGAAGGGGCCAAGCTCACAGAAATATTTCTTGCCAGGCTATTGATGGTTGAGAGACAACGAACTGCATTGGGATCATCATGGTGAGAATGGATTTCTGAGTAATACAGCTGGAATTTGATGGCTGATTGACCTGGGAAGGAGAAAAGAGAAATAGACAAGAGTCAAAATTTTTCCTGATAGTATTTTGACTTACACACTAGGAAGATGCTGTTAGCTAAAGTTGGAATAATGAAAGGGAATTGGGAAAATAAAATTTCCATTTTGGTCATGTTAACTCAGAAGAATTAGTTGGATATCCTTGTAAGGCAGTGATGTTCATGAGTTATGGCAAAAGTAATAGTGATTAACAAATGTCTGAAATTGCATATTTATCAATATTTAATAACTGAAATAATTAAATTGTAAGTGTAAAGATCTACTCTTTAGATTCTGTGACCTAATGCAAATCTCTCCAAATGTCTTCTCAAAAATAATCTATAAAATGAAGCATATAAATGTCCTCTTATCTGTGTAATTCCATGATTCTGATTGGTCATGGATATTTAAAAATCTCTTTTCTTGTAACAGCTTCATTGAGATATAATTCATATACTATAAAATACACTCATTTTAAGTGTATAAATCAATGGCTTTATTATACTCATAAAGTTGCCCAGTTATTATCACAATCAACTTGGGAACATTATCACCTCCAAAAGAAATCCCAAACCCATTACCACTCACTTACTATTTTCTTCCAACTTCCTGAGTCCTAGGCAACCATTAATCTACATTCTGTCAGTAAAACTTTTCTGTTCTGAACATTTCATATAAATGGAATTATACAATGTGTAGTCTCTTGTGTCTTGCTTCTTTCACTAAACCTGACATTTTCAAGGTTCATCCATGTTTTATAATGTATCAGAACTTCATTTATTTTTATTACCCAATAATATTCCATTGTATGACTATACCACATTTTATTTATTCATTAATTAATGGGCATTAGCTGCTATGAATTATGTTCCTAAACCATTTGTGTTCATTTGCACTTACATTTTCATTTCTCTTGTATATAATTGGAAGTGGAATTGCTGGGTCATATGGTAACTGTATGCTTAAACTTTCAAGGGATTCCCAGACTATTTCCCAAAGTGGATGCACTATGTTGCATTCTCACTGGTAGTATATGAGGATTTCAATTTCTCTACATCATTGCTAACACTTGTTACTATATGTCTTCTTAATTGTAGCCATCTTAGTCGCGGTGAAATGGCATCTCATTGAGATTTTGATTTGCATTTCCCTGATGAGTAATGATATTGAGCATCTTTTCATGTGCTTATTGGTCATTTGTATATCTTCTTTGGAAAAATATCTATTCAGATCTTTTACCTATTTTTAATTGGCTCATTTGTCTTTTTATTATTTAGTGTTTTAAAAATTGAAGTATAGTCAGTTTACAATGTTGGGTCACTTTCTGGTGTACAGCATATTTCAGTCATACATATACATACATATATTCATTTTCAAAATTTTTTTCATTATTGATTACTACAAGATTGTGAATATAGTTCCCTGTGCTATACAGTATAAACTTGTTCATTTAATATATAGTACTTAGTATCTGCAAATCTTCAACTCCCAATTTATCCCTTCCCACCCCCTTCCCTCTCTGGTAACCATAAGGTTTTTTTTCTCTGTCTGTGAGTCTGTTATTGTTTTGTAAGTAAGTTCATTTGTCTTTTTTTTAGATTCCACATATAAGTGATATCATATGGTATTTTTCTTTCTCTTTCTGGCTTACTTCACTTAGAATAACAATCTCTAGGTCCATCCATGATGCTGCAAATGGCATTACTTTATTCTTTTTTATGGCAGAGTAGTACTGGCCATTTGTTATGTCCTCATTGGCAAATTGCTTGTTAAGGTCTTCTGCCCACTTTTGGATTAGGTTGTTTGTTTTTATGTTATTAAGTTGTATGAGCTGTTTATATATTCTGGAAATTAAGCCCTTGTCAATCTCATCTTATGCAAATATTTTCTCCCATTCTGTAGGTTGTCTTTTTGTTTTGCTTATGGTTTCCTTTGCTTTGTAAAAGCTTATAAGTTGAATTAGGTTTCATTTGTTTATTTTTGCTTTTATTTCTATTCCCTGGGTAGACTGCCCTAGGAGAACATTGCTAAGATTTATGTCAGATAATATTTTGCCTGTGTTTTCTTCTAAGAGGTTTATAGTGTCTTGTCTTATGTGTAAGTGAAAGACTTGTATGTGGAAAACTACAAAACATTGACTAAGGAAATTAAAAGTGACTTAAAGAAATGGAAAGATCCCATGTTCTTGGATTGAAAGAATTAATATTGTTAAAATGGCCATATTACCCAAAGCAATCTACAGATTTAATGTGATCCCTATCAAATTACCCAGGACATTTTTCACAGAACTAGAACAAATAATCCTAAAATATATATGGAATCACAAAAGACCCAGAATTGTCAAAGCAATATTGGAGGAAAAAAATGAAGCTGTAGGAATAACCCTTCCAGACTTTAGACAATACTACAGAGCTGCAGTAATCAAAACAGCATGGTATTGGTACAAAAACAGACATGTAGATCAATGGAACAGAATAGAGAGCCCAGAAATAAACCTAGACCTTTGGTCAATTAATTTTTGACAAAGGAGGCAAGAACATAAAGATGAATAAAGACAGTCTCTTCAGCAAATGTTGCTGGGGAAACTGGACAGCTGCATGTAAATCAATGAAGTTAGAATACTCCCTCACATCATACACAGAAGTAAACTCTAAATGGCTTAAAGACTTAAACATAGGACAAGACACTATTATTTAGTTTTTATTATTGAGCTGTAAAATTCTTTTTGTTTATTCTAGACACAAGTTCCGTATCAAACATATGATTTTTAAGTATTATTTCCTATTCTGTGAGTTATTTTTTCACTTTCTTGATAGTATCTTTTGAAACAAAAGATTTTGAGTTTGATGAAGTACAATTATTTTTTCTTTCATTGCTTGTGTGTTTAATATTCTATCTAGGAAACCATTCCTAATCTGAGGTCACAAAGATTTACACCTATGTTTTCTTCTAAGAGTTTTATGGTTTTGATTCTTAAATTTAGGTATTTGATCCACTTTGAGTTATTTGTTGTATATGACGTGAGGTAGGGGTACAATTTCATTGTTTTGTATATGCATATCTAGGTGTACCAGCTCCATTTATTGAATAGACCATATTTTCCTCATCAACTTCCTTTGGTACCCTTGTTAAAAATTAACTGAACATAAATGTGAGGGATTACCTCTAGACTCAACTATATTCCATTTTTCCTTATTTTTGTCTTTGTAATAGTATCACTATCTTTTGTGATAGAGATTACTGTATCTTTGTAGAAAAATTTTGAAATTATGAAGTGCAAGTACTTCAAGTTTCTTTTTTTTCAAAATTGTTTTCGGTATTCTTAGAATTTCCATATGAATTTTAGGATTAATCTGTCAATTTTTGGAAAGAAACTAACTGGGATTCCAATAGAAATGGTATGGAATCTATAGATCAATGGGGGATATTGCCATGTTAACAATATTAAATCTTCTGATGCATGAATATGGGATATCTTTCTATTTATTTAGGTCTTCTTAATTTTTTTTGACAGTGTTTTATAGTTTTCAGGTTATAATTTTGTACTTATTTTGTAAATTTTATTCCTAAGTGTTTTATTCTTTTTGATGATCTTGTAAATGGAATTGTTTTATTAATTTTATTTTCAGCTTGCTCATTGCTACTGTATTTGCAATTGATTTTTATTGTATTAATTTTGTATGCTGGAAGCTTGCCAAACTTACTAGTTAATAGTTTGTGGTGAGTTTCTTAGAAATTCTTTATTTAAGATCATGTCATTTGCACATTGAGATAGTTTTACTTCTTCCTTTCCAATCTGGATGCTTTTTATTTTCTTGTTAATTATTCTGGAAAGGCTCTCCAGTGCAATATTGAATAGAAGTGAAGAAGACATCCTTGCTTGTTCCTAAACTTAGATGAAAGTATTCAGTATTTCACCATTAAGTATGATGCTGGCTATGGGTTTTTCATAGATACCCTCTATCATGGTGAAAATGTTCCCTTTTAAGCCTAGTTGGTTGAGGGTTTCTTTGCTTCCTCTGCCTGGAATGCCCCTTCTTTTTTCTTCTACCTGGTGAATATTCTCATATTCTCTAAGACCAGCTTAAATGCCTCCACTCAACAAAGCTGATCCTTTCCCTTTTTCCACTTTTGGCCTGTAGGGATGTAAGTCATAAAGAATGGAAGAAATTGACTCTGAGTCACTATTAGGCAGGCTTTTTCAATTTGGAAAATATTCAATCTTGAATTCAAGGCACTAAGATCATAATCCCCACAGATCTTTCCATATAACTTGTTTTGGTATTGATTTTTGAGCACAAAACTCAGAAAGTGAATTTGCATAAGTAGGAATACATTTTCAAAGTACAAATTGATGCACATCTGTCTGCATAGTTAGTAATCGATGCAACTGCAAAAATCTAATGAAAATATGCCCTGAACATAAAAGATCTAAAATGATTAATATTGAATATCCTGTGGTAGAAAAGAGATTGTGCGTTATCTCATCCAATGAAATGAATTTTTCATTAGAATGGCGTATTAGTTGAGAGCTGAAGACTAATGATTTTTACTTATTAAGTCACAATTCACTTCTGCCACTTTTCAAAGGCTGAAAGTACTGAGATTATCTTTCATTTGAGCAGGTTAGCTTTTAACTTTGTTTTGCTGGCTTTCTTTCATTCACTCGTTTACTTACTAACTCACCAATTAACTTATACAACTAATTTTAAAATGTTCATTTATAATAATTTCTATAGGAGATGTCAGTAACAACAGATATCCCTAATCTACAGAAATTTGTTAGAGGAATTAAAATAATATAATATGAATTAGTTGATACAGACTTCTATTTCAAGATGGCAGCCTCAGTACATGTGTCAGCTTCCCTTTGCCCCAACATACACACACACACTTGTTGGACATACGCACACGTGTGTTGGACATGCACACACATGCATAAAGGGGAGGCAAGCTGGGAAAACAGACTCATACAGCCATAGAAGACATTTAAGCCTGTTATTTATACTAACAAGTATAGTCTGTGATTCATAAACATAAATGGATGCAAAATATTACCAGATACTTGAGGAAACCCAGCAAAGTGGACAAAGATGAACCAACAATGATGATTCCAGACCCCAAAAAAAATCATTTAGGGAAGAAAATAGAAATTAAAGTTTTAAAATTAATTTCTTCAGAAGACTCAAATGTTTTACATCCATAAATTAAGACAAAAATAATATGATAGAATGAGCTATCAAAATTAAGAAAATAATATGGGAAGTTAAATATCTAGTAATAAACTGCAATAAAATTTGATTTGGCTAAATCACAAGATGCTTGTGGTTGAAAATAAAGTAAAAATCTGAAAAATGAAGTGAAGGAAACTGTATTAATTTCCCAGGACTGCCTTATCAAATTACCACAACTTGGTGCTAAAACAACAGAATTTATATTCTCAGAGTTCTGGAGGCCAGAAAGATGAAATCAAAGTATCAGCAATGTTGGTTCCCTCTGGAGGCTCTGAGGGACAATCTGTTCTATATTCTCTCCTAGCTTCTGGTGGCTGCTGGCAATGTGTGGTGTTTCCTGGCTTGTAGATCCATCATTCCAATCTCTGTCTCCATCTTCATATGGCCTTCCCCGTGTACCGATGTGTCTGTTTCTCTCCTCTTCTAAGGACTTGTCATTGAATTTAGGGCTCACCCTAAATCCATTTGGTCTCATTTAGAGATCCTTACTTTAATTTACATCTTCAGAGATGCTTTTGCCAAATAAGGTTATATTCTGAGATTTGAGATGGACATACCTTTTGGGGGCCACAATTCAATCCATTGTAGAAACATTGCACAGAAATGCAAAACATGAGAGCGAAAGTCTTTAAGGACCCAAGGGATAAATCTAATTGGAGGTACCATTCAAGATGTTTAACCAGTGATAGCATAGGTATAGACTGATCAAATGGAAGCTATCCAGTCAGAATTGGTGCTAACTGAACATTATTAGCCCAGGATTTCCAAAGCCGAGAAAAGGGGCAGTGAAGCAGAGGGAATAATCAAAGAAATAGTAGAAGAAAATTTATTCAGGCTTAAGAAAGGTGAATTCTTAATTTTGAAAGAGTTCAGTCTGTAAATCAAGTAAGAAAAATGGGGAAAAAAACCCTAGGAGAAAATAACTTGAATACTTTCTAAGAGAAATCCCATTCCTCCAAGGATAAAAGAAAATTTGAAAATAAATGGTTTACCTACAAAGCAATGTTAGAAATATGAAGCAAATTTTTTATCCTTATTCCAGATGCTAGAACACAAAATAGCAATCTTCAACTAACTATCAGAAAAGTTAGGGAAAAAATAACAATAATTAAGAAACTTCCTATTCACAGTTTCTGGAAATTGAAATTGGAGTAGATGGTAAGGAGGAACACTTCATTTTCATTTTATTCCATTTTGTCCCTTTTTTTAAAGAACAGTTTGAGGTTCACAGCAAATCTGAGTGGAAGGTATAGAGATTTTCCATATACAGGTTTCCCCCACTATCTGGAAGTAGAGTGTTGCCATGAAACCCTTTGTAAGCCGAAATGTCCTAAAGCAAAGAAGCAATTACATTAGGACACATCTTTTTAACTGATTCACAAAATAAATCAACATAATACATGGATACTCACAGGTAAAATTCAAAGCTATGATGGCTTGGTGTTGGGATGCTGAGTAGTTCCCAGAGAAGGAGCTTGGAAGTGCCATTCTTGCTGCTCAGGGTGCAAGCTGCCTTTGTAACACCTCGCTGGAAAACAAAGGCTGAGTGCTATATTTGCTTTTTACCTTTTTTCATAAAAGCAAAAATCCTCTTTGGATTTCTTCTAGTCAATGAAAACAAGTACTAATGTAGGTCTTTCAGAAAAGCAAAATGGTATAAAGCAAACTTTCAAAAAGCAGGAGATACCTGTACTCCCTACCATGCCTGTGCATAGCTTCTTCAATTATCAGCATCCCTGACCAGAGTGGTACATTTGTTAAGCTTGACAAACCTACATTGACACATCATAATCTCTCAAGGTCCATGGTTTATGGTAGAGTTCATGCTTGGCTGTGTACATTCTGTGGGTTTGGACATATGCATAATCACATGTATCCATCATTATAATACACAGAGTATTTCTGCTGCCCTAGAAATCCTCTGTGCTCCACATGTTCACCCCTTCCAACTCCTGGCAGTCACTTACTGTCTCCATAGTTTTGCCTTTTCTGGAATATCATATAGTTAGAATCATGCAGTATGTAGCCTTTTCAAATTGGCTTCTTTTACTTACTAACATGCATTTAAAAGTTCCTCAATGTCTTTTCATGGCTTGATAACTTAGTGGTTAATGAGGATTTAGAAGCTATAGCTAAAAAGACATTTTATGTTAATTAAATACTGCTTGTGTTAAAAAATAAAATAAAACAAAACCCTGACAGAAGAATTAACAACTTAATATCCAGGGCTAGAGAGAGAGAAAAAAAAGTCTCCTATATAAATCTTAATTTTCTTCTGGAGACTCAATACTTAGCACTATTAACAAGATGAATACAGTAGTGTTGCCCAGAAAAAAAGAGATTTTAGTTTTTTCTTGAATGCTCTTTAATGCCTCTCTGCCAAGTGCCAGTTTTTCAATCCTGACCAATGCTGGGAAATAGGAGTATAATATTTACTGATGTTGTAATTTATTCATTGGTTGGTTCATTCCTTTGTCCTTTATGTTCACTAGACACCCATTCTGTGGTGCTCAGTGAAGGAAGAGAATGTGTCCTGCTCCCACTGAGCTCTTAGCCAGGCTTGGAGACCCCTAAAACTGAATTTCTATCAGGACATGAACCTGGGACACATACGTTGGCAAAATGCAAAAGTTTGTTTTTTTTAAGAAGGGGGAAATCTCAAAAAATTACAGTCTGGTTAACTTTTTTTAACTTCTGTTAAAATGGAATACAGTAGATTAATTTATGATAAATCAAAAGTATATTTTGTTTTTTATTTAAAAATTATAAAAACTTTGTTTTATTTTTAATTGTATGAGTAATGGAGAAATTATTTTTATAGCAATCAAGGAAATGAATGGGGGCAGATAAAGTCTCTTTTAAATACTTTCCTCAACCCCAATTACTATGCATTATATATATATGTATGTATGTGTGTGTGTGTGTGTATATATATACACACACAGTGTGTATTGAGACAGTTAGATTGAGACAGAGATAAATCCCTACATAAATACATGCATGACTGGGTGTGAGTGTGTGATGTTTCTACTATACAATTAGTGTCTTACCACGCATATTCCACAGCTTGATTGTTTTCATTAACATGTCTTGTAGATCTTACAGTGTGAGTCCATAAAGATTTACCTCATTGTTTTTACCTGCTACACAGAATCCCTGTTTAACTGTTGCCTGATGGGTGATCATTTATGTTGCATCCAGCTTTTGCTTTTACCATGATGTACACTGGACCAAACCTCCCTGTGCAGGCATCACTGTACTCACTTGTGTGGGGATTTCTGTAGAGTAAACACTGAGTAGTCAGATTGCTCTCTTATAGGTTATACACCTTCTATGTTTTGTTAGATGCTTCTAAATTAATTTCTGTGGATCTGATCTTATTGATATTAGCAGAGTATGAAATTTTAAAAGTGGGCTTTGTGAAAAAAACTGTTCCTGCACAGTTTAATTTCCTCACTAACAAAATATAGCCCCTGAGATAAGGGGGAGGAAAGAAAAGCAATATATTTGAAGTGAAGCTTTGGATTTGAATTAATAATTTTCTTACTAGTGAACTTGGGAAAACTGCTCTGAAATATATAATGGTCAGCTACCCAATTATCTAGAGTGCCCAAAACAAGTCAGTAATCAATAACTAACATCAATCTGAGAGTCTTTATTGAAGTTCCTCTGGTTTGATAGTCTTAATACAAAAAAATTGAATGGAATGGAAAAAACAGGCTTAATAAAACTGAACATAGCTTAAGAATAATGGAGGCCTTGGGCTATTTGGAAAAGTGACCATTAAAAGTAGAATCCTCCTCATTGGTGATATCATCCAATGATTCATTCCAATTATGTTTAGAATGAATTCAGTTGGCTGGTAATTGGCTCTCCTCCTGGCTGGATACTTTTCACCCCCAGCTCTCCATGGTGCTTCTCCACCTGGCTCCTCATTCTGTGGTCCAGTGGAGACATACCTGCCCTCACTGTTCATGCTCAGGCTGTTAGTGCTCAGTCTGTGTGTTCTTATAGAACTCCTTTTTACACTTATGGATTACATCTATTCTTTTGCCTCTACTTGTTCACCAGCCATTGGACACTTTGAAGATCGAATCATAACTTGTCCATTATTGTATTCTCAGCCAGCAGTGCTGAGCTTAGGGATCTGGTGGTTAAGGATGTTGGCTTCAGACAGATCTGTGTTCAAACTTCAGTTCTGCCACTTTCCAGCTCTGTGTATTCTTGGGGAAGTGCCTTAAGACAGTTACCTTAAAAGATTGGCGAGGATTAACTTTAATATCTGCATGCTTGGCACAGTATAAACAGTGAAATGATAACCACTGTTGTTATTGTTGTTGAAATATAATTTAAGAAGTAGTTAAGAAAAATTCTTAGGACTATGTAAAAGAGGATTATTTTATTATAAAAATGTAACCCAAATTTCTCAGTCTGTTATTTTCTAACATAAGGAATAGATGTGAGTTACTTTTGTTTTCATCTTGAATAAGCTGTCTCTCTCTGTGTTTATTCAGCACAGACTTAGAGAGCTTGATGCAAAATATATTCAGGTTCCCAAGTTATGTATTTTATCAGGCATCTGAAAATTTGACACTTAGTAGCAATGGATATATTCAGGAATGAGTCAGTACACTGAGCTCAGTGGTCTGTATTTGGCCCAGTGTAGATTTCAAAAAGGTGAGGGAATCACAAATAAAGGAAATAAATGAACATATTCAAAATGTGATCTTATAGCTAGCATACTCATCTTCTCAGATCTTTAATACTTTGGGAACTAACTCATATAGGACTCTAACTTCTATATATAAATAAAGTAATTTTTCCCACCAAGAGCTGTACTGCTACCATTGAAATCTGGGTCCAAAATTATGATTTACTTTTTATCTTAGTCATTTTATGCCCACTCTTCACCGTGTTGTTGATTTCAGAGAGCCCCACCACTCTTAACTGGGCATTTGGGATTCAAACCTATACTTTTTATAGTGTCTGCCTGTCAAATTGGTACTTAAAGTACTGTCTGCTTCTAAAACCTTTTATGCTCCTTCCTCTCCTTCTCTGATTTTATGTGCATCCTTTATTTCTCTCTTTCCTTTAAGAAAAATCCAGGTCACCCGCACAACCCTTTTCTATGAGAACACTGCCCAGGGAGCTCCATTTCCTATATGCCCTACAATTGCTGAATATCTCCTGCTTTATATTTTTCTCTTATCTTCTGTCACAATAGTTTCTCTCTCTTTATTCTTTTAGAAATAGATACGAAATATTATCTCACTCTTCTTGAAGAGTTAATTTTTATTTTCGCACCCTCTCTGAGCTTCTGTGGGTGGTGGGAAAAGGAAAGATGTTTATGGAAATTGTCACCTCTAATCAAGTTGCCTCTGTGGCAGAACTTGAGATTCTCTGAGGATGCTGTGTCCGGAATCTTTCCGGAAAATGTCATAGGCAAGAACCTCTTCTCTGTCGTTGATCATTCTGTATCCCTGGAGTGTATTCTAGGACATGTTATGAATTAGGGGGTTCTCAGTGCCACCTTCTGCACTTTGGTTGCCTGACATCTCTAAGTTTGGGGATTCAAGGTCTTGTAGGCCTGGCCACACTCCACCCCCTACTTCTCTTGCTTGTGCCAAACTAACCAACCTGCCTTTCTATTTTGAACCTTCCCTGAAAGCTTTCCATCAGTTTATTACTGCCAAGGTCTCTGGCCCCCAATTTTAAAACCTTACAAGGTTTTTCTTCCCCTTCCCTCCACCTGGCCTCATTTGATCAAAGACCACCCCCATGGCCAGGTTTCTGCTTCTGTGGGTGCTAGTCTGTGTGTTTGGAAAATTCCTTTCCTTGCCATCCACCTCTTGCCCTGTTCCCTGACCCAAATGTGGAACAGGCTATTTTGGTTGCTTTTTCCTCTTGGAGGGTTCAGGTCTAGGCAAGACCCTGGACGTGGAGGTTTATTTTCTTTCATATGGGTGTCATTGTTATCTCCATGAAAACTAAGGTGTTGAGTAGTGAGTAGCTATTCCTGAACACCTGCTTTGAATAGGAGATTTTTTTAAAAAGAAATCTTAAGAAGGAAATTCCTAGTGGTGGAAAGTCAGTGAGGCAAGTATTTTAAAGGATATCTTTCTTGCTTTTCCCTCAAGTCATGCCTGTGGGTACCACCACCTGATCATAAGATAAGCCCTGCTCTGCCCTTGACTTCACACAGTTTGCAGTTCTGTTCACAATGGTGGATAACTCTCAAGGCAGTGGAGTGGGTAGGATAAGTTGTAGGTAATCAAACTGCCTGGGTTTGAATCTCACCTTGGCTACTTAATAGGTGTGTGATCTTGAGTGACAGTTCTTAATCTATTTCATAGTTTCCCCATGCTTAAAGTGCGGATGATAATAGTACCTACCTCATAGCATTCTTGTCTGGATTACATAAGTTAAAATCTATCTTATTATTATCTTGAACTACGATAAGCAAATGCATTCCTGTACACCTGGGCTTCAACTGATAAAAGACTGAATTTTTTTCTTATAGTTATGTACATTTACCTACTTAAATACTGAAATTTGAAAAAGGTTACGATAAGTAACATTTGAATAATAAAACCAAAGAATTTCTACTAGATAATACTGTAGAATTTGGGGAAGAAAAGGAAGCAAATTTGTTCAAAAAGAGGCTAAAATAGGTCATGAGCAAATGATTTATTTGACCCTCAGTTTCCTGGAAGCCAGGGCTACTGGCGACTGATACCAGTCTGAGATGGAAATGCAGCCAAGGTTTAGGTAGAGGACTCCCCAAGTAAAGACCCCTCCTCCCACCCTGGCACATCTATAGCAAGGAACACAGATTGGGGTGGTGTCCAGGAAGTCCTTGACACAGGAGGCGCTGACCTCACTTTGGCTGATCTTTTATTCTCTGTCTGCCTGTATCCTCCTTGAGTGTCTGTATTAGTGGCTCACAGTTATTTTTGAGAACATTGGTTGGAGGACATGCTCTGTACAAATATACTTAATAAACTTTTCCATGAGCTTGTGATGATAAAGTGCAAATTGTCTTGGGTTGGCAAAGCTTTTAAAATACTTGTCTTATAGTCTTAATCAGCTTGATTTAATTATGTATATTTGGTTTATTTGTTAACTTTAGCCAGTGCTTTTAATGTAAATATAATCTGTTCCCCCAGCATGATGAGGCTTGAGTGAGGTCATCCATCAATGAAAATTCCTTGTAAACAGAAAAATGTTATACAAATATAAAAAATATTAATAATAAATAGCCTTATAGACTCTAAAATAAGGCAGCTGTGGTTAGAAGTCAAAAAAGCCTTCAAGATGATTAAAAGTGCATGATGTTTGCCTTTCATTTTTTGATTAATTACTGTTATTATTTATTTGCTCACAAATATCTTCAGATATTAAACTTTAATCATGCTTAACATGATTTTTTATATATATTGAGTTTAGTAGAGCAAAATTTTTTTCTTGTTGCTCACTAATATTTATTAGGGTAGAAATTTTTGTAAAGTTTTGAGGAAGAAGAATGACTCCTTCAGAGACTCAAGGTAAATCCACTTACACAACAGGTGAAATGCTGCATGCTTCACGTTTGATAATACCTTATTTTCTAGTTGTTTCTCACATAGCTTACCTTGAGAGTCAGAGGATCTCACCAGCAAATATAAATCCATTCCCAAGATATTTCCGCTGATAAGGGAAAATAAGAAGAAAATATTATTGAAACCATAATAGGCTTTT